TATTTGTAGGCCTATTTTTAGTTTAAAAAGTATTAATTATTTAATTTATTTAGAAATAAAAGTTTATTTAAATTCGAGTATTGTAAGACATTTTTTGTATGAGTTTATTTTTTGGAAGCCAAGCAATGCTTAGGCTATTTTTTCCAATATTATGTAGTAGGAATGGTTATTTTAATAAATTGGAGATTGGTTTCATGTCTCGAGTAATTTAAAGGGATTATCAGGGAAAAGTTGAGTCAGGGATCTGTTTCACTTTTATACGGCCCAATTTGTGTCCAAGACTTGAGTCTTAACTCATGTCTATTCATTTGTTAATTCGGTCTTTGAGTACCGCTCTTTAACCTAGTAATTTTGCGTGATTATTGGCAAAGTTTAGCCTAAGCATTGCTTGGCTTACAAAAAAATAAGTACTACGTAGTGGAAACCTTATCCCAATTAAAATTTTATTAACCTTTATCTTAAACTTTATAAATTTGTTAATACTGTGTAATTATCCTTGAACCTCATAATCTTCAAAACATCACGAAAATCCTCTAAAACAATCCTCACCTACCTATCAAAACCACAAAATGAGGAAAATCGCCACATACCCTAGCCCAGTTTAAGAATATAGGTTCACTTTTAGTTTTACCTGGGGTATACAGCCTATTTAAGTATTTATTTTAAAGTTTACTACACAAAATCCAATAAATAATTATAGCCAGTAAATTAGCTATGAACATTGTCAAGCTTCCAAAAATTAAAACAGCCCATTTGAAGAAACTTCAGCGTCAGTAAATCATTTTAAATTTAATAAATAAAAATTCATTTAAACAATAACAAGTAATTGGGTTTCCTTCAGTCTCCAGTTTCAATAGTTGCTCAGTATCAGCCAGAGCTTTTGATAAAGTCAGCGAGCAATGTTTTATCTAACTTAAAGCTGTTAAAACAGCCTCACATCCCTGCTTGAGTCTCTTTCGGTCGTGCCCGCTCAAAACATCTAGACGGCTAAAAAGGCTCAAAATATCAAAATATATTGTTTTAATTAAAGGGACAGTTGAATCCGCGGAAAAAAGTTTTTGCCGCTGCGGAGGGAGTCGGGCATGTCGAGCGGAACGACGGCTTGATTAGTTGATTAAGCATTTTCGAGTGATACTAGTGTAGCGATCTGACGGAAATTTTTATCAATCTCGGTTTATTTTTAGGTTTGTATGGCCGCTTTTACAAAATTTTTCCTCAATCCTGTAGAGATCAACCAAAAAATCTCGTTAAAATCTCAATTATTGTGATCGTGTTTTTTGCTTAGATTGGCTTAGGTCTGAATATATCAAACGGAACAAAGCTTCTCATCTAATGGCAATTTTATAAATTAATTCTTATTGTATCTTAAAATATCAAAATTCATTAAATATTGCCATTATTTTGAGTTATAGACTTGTTTCTTCAAAATATCACTCTGAATTGGTAACCTCTCCAAATCCTCATTAATCAATCAAAATCATCATGCCATTCTCTTAATCTTCTTTACTGAATAAAACTTAAAACATCTTAGAACTGAACAGAAACTAGATCCGTCTTTTAAACTAATCCGGTCCTTCCCAGATGTAAATCATTAGCCAAGGATTGCTTGACTTTCAAAAATAATTAAATCTAAATTTAAAATTTCAGTTAGCAGAATTGAATAAATAAAGCTCATTGTCATTAGTTAAATAAAAATTATATATTTTACAATTCTCTGCAACCTGAGATTACAGCGTGTGGCCGGTTCGAAAGCCCTTCGGAATCCACCTTTTTTTGAGTCTCAGATTAATCTTCATTTTATTGTCAATCTTTATTTCATTATATTTTAAGTAGAAGGCAATTTATTAGGAAGGAAAACGGAAAGCGGCGTTTTGTAAACGGAAAGCGGCATTAGTATTCAATAATTGAAATACTAATTTATAAGAAATTTTGCTATAGATATTGGTCCGCGTCACTCGGGTTTATTTGCAGCTTTATTTTTTGATGCAGAGCAAAGCTCATGCAGAAATTTCTGTTTTGTTTAAGTATAGGGTTTCAAAGGTAGAGCAAAAAACAACCCTAAATTTTTTTATTTAAATTAATCTACTGAACGACACTTCACAAAATTTTGTCCGCTGAATTGAAATATTCCCTATGCGTCAATCATCACTAATTTTGTTAATCCAGTCGTGGCGCTCGATGCAACTATTAAAAAACTATGTGATTTGTGAACGTGACTGCACGTACCAATTTCACTGAAAAATTTTTTTCGCACTCTAAATTTCTAACTTTTCCAAATTAATTTTCATTTTTTCAATTGTTTACGATTAAATAAAGTAAAAATATTTCCTCAAAATCTCGAAAAAAATTCCCACTACTTAAAAAAAGCATTTTTTCTCACTCCAACATACAAACAAAATTCTTGTTTAAATTTTCATTTTTTCTTCAAACAGCGAAAAGTCCAAATACAATTATATAAAAAGCCACATTTTCTGCCAGCCACGGTGAGAAAATTATACATTGCCTTATATTTTAACAAGCTTAAATTAATTAAAATTTAGCCTTGAAAGCTTTTATAACTCATAGCAACCGTTTGAATATTTTATTAAGTTGCCTTAAGTTAAGCAAAATTAATAAAATTAAATAGGTAAATATTATAAGCTCTGAAATGCCTGCGAAATTCCCTGACAGCCTAGAAAATAAAGCAAGAATAAAACAAAATTCAAAACGATCAGTTGTGGTTCGAATGTGTGATCGGTTAATATCCTGGCATGTCGGTTAATATCCGAAATGTGTGATCGGTTAATAAAAAATGTGTGATCGGTTAATATCCGAAATCCTATATGCAAACCATGACAATTTTTCGATTCGATATCCAACTATAGAAATGTCCTATACCCTCGAGATCTCTATTAACTTCGATATTAACCTCGACATCTCTGGGGTTTTAGGATAAGTCCTATCCAATCTTATCCCTCCATTCGCTGGAGAAATTCTTGAGCGTTTTACGACATTAGATCAGAGAACTCTTAGAACAAGTCCTTAATTTTTTGCTATCTACTGGTGTAAATTAGGCCACTTCACTCAAGGGAACTATAATAAAGTTATAAAATAACCAGCATATTAGCCTAAGCGTAGCTTGGCTCCCAAAAAATATCATCCCCCCTTAAAGTAAATATAGACCCGTGTTTAGCCAAATTCATAGAAAGATGTTCACCCCACATTCATATTCTTCAACCCATAGTGCCGAAGCCGTGCCGGATCCATACCCAGAATATAGAGGAATATTGGGAGGGGAGTATATTTGGACTTCCTAGGAAGAGCTTCAGGGTTGATCAGGTCCTTCAGCAATTCCCCATACTCAAATATACACAAACACACACCAGCTGGTGGAAACTCCTTATTTAACAATTTAACACAAATTCATAATATTTACTAAACACAAAACTAACTAACTAACAATAAAAAGTGATCGAAATCAAATGTGTGAAAAAGGGGCGGGATTTAAAATTGCATGAAATAGAAATAAACGGGATATGGATACAAACTCCAAAAACACAAACTCCGAACATGCTCAATACCGGGTTCTACCTTACACGTCCCTTTCCCCATGAGACCGTCCCTGGTCTCTATCTAGACTTTTCCGACTCTAATTTCTCTACTTTTAAAAACATTTTTCCCTCCTACTAGTAACCTGACCATTTCCTTTTCATACCGAATCAATAAGCTCTCTGATGCCTGGCTTAGCCTATTTTCATGATGTTTTCTCTTTCTTTTACTTTCCATGCTCTTCGAGCATGTCTCTCTTTCCTTTCCTTTTGGACCGTCCCTGGTCCACTATTAACTTATTCTTTCCTTTCAAAGTTGCTTATTGATTCGTATATTTATTTTATGGTCATTTTCTAGTAGTTGGGTTATTATTTTTTTTAAGAGTTTAGAAATTATTGTGGGTAAAGTCTAAATATTTCTGGGGTATTCCTTGTTTTTGGCTAACCTAGTATGAGCATGTTCATTAAAATTTTGAAAACGTGTTTTAAATGGGATAAGGTTTGGAATTGAAAAAAAAATGTCAAAATAGTAAAAAGGATCCAGAAATTACCTAAGTAAAATTAAATGACAACATAAATTTTGGGGTATAAATAGCTAAAACATACATTCTTATGTAAGTAAGGAGGGCATTTTAAAAATGGCAAAGAAAAATTAATCAAATGATCTAACAAAGAAAAATTTGGTTAAAATTGCAATTTGTGTAAATATTAAGTAATGTGAAAATTGGTATTTGGGATTTAAGTAAGTTGATTAAATAATAACAAATTATTATAACATTTAAAAATGAGGTTGGAATAAGGATATAATTATTAACAAAAACAATTTTTGAAAAATCTTAAGTGAGATATGGAGGGTAGTAAAATTGAATGTAAATTGGCAAACAAAATAATTAATTAGAAAAATAATTGATTAATTAATTAATTAGTGCAAATTGTTAAAATCATAAAAAAAATATTTTTGAGGGGTTTCAATGAAATTTCTATATAAAGTGACATTTGGTTGTAAAATTGACATTTTGAAAATTTTTGGAAATGAGAAAAAATTGTATTTGACAGGTATAAGTGATATAAAGAGGTACACGAAATTAAGGACAAAATATTTTTAAGGCTTAAATTGGAAAAGAAATTCTGGGTAATAAAAACAATTAAAAATACATTAATGTGACCTAGTGTTAGCCACTTAATAAATTCAAAACATTTAAAGGAAAGTTGTGGAAGGGGGAGACGGAAAATTGGAAATTTGTCTAACAAAATGTAAATAAACACAAATATTATGGGGGAACAAAATGTATGTTTTAAAACCTAAAAACATTCAAACTCATTCAAACAAATAAAGCGAATAAAATAAAAAAATAATTTTATTTTCCTCTTCCTCTCCATGAATCCTTACGCCAAGTACCATAATTGTTTTCCATGCATTCGCGAGCGAAGTGTCCATAGCCTCCACATTTGTAACATTGCAATTGATCGGTTCTAACAAATGTAGTACCTTGATATTGTTGCCATTCATTGGGAGCTTGTCTCTTCCTAAAATTGGGAATATAATAATTTGTGGTATTATTTATATTTAAATTATTAAAATCTTTTTCAAACCAATCTTCAGCTCTACTTGTACTTGGTCCATCTCGTCTCCATGTTTCATTTCTAACCATACCACTTGTTGAAGGTTGTTGTTGTTGCTGCTGTTGGGGAACCACCTCATCAACAAAGTTAGCTACAACTCTCCCACTGGCGGACAACAGCTGGCCAAACCTATCACGTTTACAAGACCCACTTCGGAGGACATTCAAATACTCTTGACCAACAACCATTGTAAAATCCGAAGCACGATCAATAAACCTGCTCCATACTTTACCACCTCTCAAAGTCTCGATGTCACCGACGAGGAAAAGTCCATGCTTGGCACGACTCAACGCAACAGTTGCACGACAATCATCTCTCAAGAAATCCGAGGAGTCGCCGAGGCCGCCACTTCTGTTGGAGGACCTTGTGGTGACAAGTACAACAACATCACATTCCTGGGCTTGATAGCCATCAACGCTGACTACCAAAACATTCCAATTCAATTTTTCAAACTCTTTTTGAATACATTCCTTTTGAAACAAATATAAACAAATAACGACGACGGAAATGTTTGGCGAGACTTTTTCATACAAGGAGGAAATCAACTGGATTGCCGAAGCAGTTTGTTCATCATTGGTGAGAGAATGGGAGATAATATCCTGACGACAAGTTCCAACAACGTTCAACAACACAATCGGACAATTCTGCATTGGTAGGGGGAATCGTGAGGTTGTTAACAACGCTCTTTCATCCTCACCTCTGCCTGCCTCGATATTTTCTCCATGCGACTCGTAGGAAGCATAAGAGACAACTTCTACCAGAAGCGGGTGCATTCTATAGCAGACAGTCAATCTAGTATGCTTAACCAATGTCGACAAGACTAACTGTTCGACCATGCTCTCCAGGCCGAAGCCATAGTGGAGGCACTTAGGCAGGTTCTGGAGATGAACACCGAGTTGGTGTTGATCTCCAGTGACCAACACCTTTTCAAGTTTGGGAAGACGACAAATAAGATGAGCGAGCTCAGTAAAACTTCCTTGAGTCGCCTCATCAAAAATCAGGACTGATGTATCAAGAAGTGAGGAATTCACCATTGCCTCTGCCATGGATGACGTGGCAAACACAATGCGTAGTCTGGAGAGCTCTGCAAGGAGAGACCCCATCTTACATTCATTGGTTAACCGAGGCCTACGATCAAAATTTTCACAATATTGATCGATTTCTTTTACGTCAGCGTTTCCAAGATTTCTCAGAACTTCCTCTGACTTCAATTTGGTGACTAACATATGCTGCCGAAGCTCGTTAATCATACCAAAATACTTATCTTTAGCATAACCCGAAAAGAAAGCGACAGCTCCTGAACGCTCCATCTCAGGGCTACCTAAAACTTCTTCCAACTCACGAGCTAACTTTGCCAAAGGCAGGTTCGCTGCTGTAATCACTGCTACCTTAACATTAGTCACAATGGACAACATTATGGCAACAACAACAGACGCCACGTGGGTCTTCCCAACTCCAGGCGGAGCCTGTTGGAAAACAAATTTACAACCCTCTTCCAACAGAATTTTGGCTGTTTCTTGCTGTTTCCTATTCAATAATCTCATCAATGGGTGAATCCTTTCAACTGCCGAAGCATCCCAATCTTCTACTTCATCATCGACCTCAAATTCTCTGGCCAGTAAAGCGCGAAGAAGTCTTCCTTGGTTAGTGTCTTGCAAAGATAAAGTTGATGGCATATTTAAATCAAAGCACTCTCGACGACTTTCCAATCCTTTAAACAGAAACGGATGGACTACAACAAAGCCTCCATCCTTGGCATTTTCCAATTCTTCTTCGACATCTCTGTTCTTTCGCTCCTGGACATTGACAACCCTCACACTAATCCAAAAATCAAATCTCTTGTTCCCGAAGGACTGAACCTGAGAAACTTCGATCTTTCTAACGACACCTGATGCAAAACTTGGAAGATGCATCTCCGACTTGAGGACTACTTGATCATCTTCGTTCCAAGCATCCTTCAAATTTTTCACCTTTGCACTGTCAATCTCAGTGAAACCTAGACGGAACAGTTCATCAACAAAAATGGCATTGCCTTCGAACCTATTTTCAACAATTTTCCTTCTTTCATCCTCATACGAAAAGCCAATTGCTGCAGACATTATACCTTCAGACAACTCAACTTCACCCTGCGTCATTTCAGGTAACAGAGGATAAAATATATTTTTTCCATTCCTTTTATATGGCCAAGGCCCGTGTGCTTCTACTGTTCCAAGAGTGCCCATTCCTTGCTGAATGACTTCTTCAGAACCAATTTTGTATTCAGTCATGTGTGGGAGGACATACGATTCATCGACAAGAAAGTTTGCAGGTAATTTAGCGACCGAAACTTTAACTAATTGACCAATTTCAATATCATTTAAGTTTAGTCCAATCAACTGACGACGATAACAACGAGTGGACACTTGAAGTTTCGAAGCGATGACTATACAACAGGATCTGACATCTTTGGTTTCTTTGATTTTGATAACAACACCAGAACATTCAACTCTTTCTGCATACGAGATGAACTCAATACAAGAGACTGTGGCCTGACTATTGATGCGACTATGGAACCAAATCTTCCTATACTGAGTCACTTCTCCAGCATTCTTAGCCAAAACTTTATAGCCTTCTCGCCATTGGAACTCAGATACCCAGACCGAATCCCCGAGCTGTAATTTTGCAACAAAGCCATCACTCTTCTCTGCCAGTTCATTCTTTATCAGAACAAAGTGTGGCCAATTTCTATTCGTGGTTGGGTTGAAACGAGCTCCAATGACTCCATTCTCTTCCACCTGACAAATCAGGTATTCAACCATCTTCTTTTCTTTCTCTTCAACATTTTCTTTAGGCATTTCTTCCGTGGTTTCTTTACATTTTTCTTTCTCTATGTTTTCAATCCGTTTGATGGCCGAAGCCTGGATATTGCTGGTGGAACAACTAGTGGTGGAACAACTCGGTTGATTGACTGGTGGACTTTTATCAGCGGACGACGACGACATAGCAGACGGAGGAATACTGGTGGACTTGGCCTTGGGAGAGTTAGTAGGTAAAGTTGTTGAGGATAGTGGCGGGAACTCGACCAAATTATTCAAATCCAGAATTGGTTGTCTTTTTTCCATTTCAATTTCTAAATTAAAGTGGAATTAGATTTTTAAAACTTAAGTAAATTATTTTTCATTAATTTTAATTTGTTTGAATTTATCAGATTATTCAGTTTATTTTACTTTATGTTCCAATAACTACTTAAATTACTAACTGAGAAGCCTGGTTCGAATATCTGTTAGAATGATGCCCAACACATTCTTCCCAGGCCATTTGTTCTTCTCAACAATCTTAGGCGAAGAAATGTCTACACCGCAACCCCAGTATAGATCACGTGAGGTTGCTTCGACCAAAAGAGATTGTCCAGTTTGAAATAAAATTCTTCTTAATTCTGGATTCTGGCGATATTTATACCAATTAGCAATAGCCATAATAAGAATAGAAACACGTCTCCATTTAAAGTGATCAAAATTTCGGATTCGTGATCCAATCCTTTTAATTAAAGCCGCGTTTTTGGTGGAGAGAATTTGTTGAGCCGACTCAAAATCTTCGAACACTAGCGCTTTGTAATACATGTAGTACTGTTCAGTACAACAGAAATCCATGCCATCAATTGTAAACAGACAACTGAAGTGGTTAGAAAACACAAAAACTTTAGTAAAAAATAAAGTCAATTTTGTTCCATCAAGCGCTGTAGTTGTAACTGGCTGTTTCATCTATATTTATTAGAATTTTACTATTTTACTTTCTCATTTTTCAAATTATATTTTATTTACAAAAATTATATTTATTTATTATATTTATTTATTATTTAGTTATTATTTATTTATTTTATTATTTATTTTATTATTATTTTATTTTATTATTTTTATTATTTTATTATTTCCTTGCAGTTGCCGAAGCTATTATGAGAATCTTTTGTTTGGGATTTCTTCTTAAATTGTATCTACCTAATCCCTGACGTCCTAATATTTCATCAGCTTGACTACTTTGTTCTACAATTACATTCGGTTCAACAACATTTTTATGCGAAAATCCAGGCATGTCAACTATTTCCTCTGCGTTAACCTCTACTAATGCTTCTAATTCCTCATTTTCTAACCTAGGCGTTGTACAAACGGGTTCGCAAGGTAAAGGTTCTATACATTTCTTCAACTGGTTAATGTGAACGATTCTTGGGTTAGACTGAGGTGAGTTACAACTTGATATGGTTACATGAACGCCATTAATTTCAATCACTCTAAATACACCCTTCCAGGGAAGATGGAATTTCTTTGAAGACCCGACTTTTCCAGTATAATTCCGAAGAAGTACCCTATCACCTATTGAAACAGTTGGATTCCTAAGTAACTTATCATATTGCGCCTTTGATCTTAGCTGTGCTTCGCTATTAGCTTCTGCCGCGTATTTCCATGCACATCTTAGGGAAACAATTAGTTTCTGTTTTATCTCTTGCTCATCATTTAGGGCTATTGGTTCTCTTATTCTGGGATCCAAAATTAAATCAACACAGAATATTGGATCACGTCCATACATTAAAAAGAAAGGAGTCTCATTTGTCGATTGGTGGACTGAGGTGTTATAACAAAAGTTAGCAAACTCTAAATGTTCATCAAAGTCAGGTTGATCACTGGTAATATACTTGGCAAGTATATTATGGAACGTCCTGAATGATCTTTCTGTCACAGCATTGCCCTGACTCCAATGAGGAATAGCGTAAGTTTTATTAATATAAAGCATTGCACACAAACTTTTAAAGAAATCCGAGGTGAAAGCCGAAGCATTGTCAGTTATTAATTCAGTACAACCACCGAAACGTAAATAGCATTGCTTGAGGAAAGCCGAAGCTATGGTAGACGCCCTTGCATCAGGAATTGGGACAGATATAACAAACTTGGTAAACCAACACACAATATTTAAAATATGCTTATTACCATTTTGCGTTTTAGGAAAAGGCCCTGCCAAGTCAAGACCAACTTTGGCAAAAAGCGTGTTTACTGGTGGCATGCACATCTCAGCTCTATATGGAGGATTTGGAGAATGCCTAAGCTGACAGGTAATGCACTGTTTATACCAAGTTACTATGTCTGAGTGCATTCTTGGCCAGAAATATTTTTTGCATTTTCTAAAGGTTTTCCCAAAGTCCATGTGTCCCCCACCTAACTTTGTTGTGTGGAACGAATCAAAAATCATGGCTCTAAGCGAAATAGGAATATAAATTCTAGGCTTATGGTCCTTGTAGTGATGGTAAAGCACCCCCGACTCAAGACAAAGATCTTTTGCCAATGTTGCGTACTCATCCTTTTCCCCTTCAGTTATGTCCTCAGGGAATTTTCCAGTTTTCAAAAATTCTATCACAATCGATGCTTCAGGGTCTTCCATTTGTTCATTCCTAATATCAACTTGATGCATTTCACCCTCAATGGACCTTAAAGACAATGTTAATGCGAATACTTCGTGAACAACTCTCGGTTTACTCTCAATGGCTAAACAAACAGGGAATTCAGCTATGTCTTCCAATTCACTAATTTTATCAACTTCTTCAGGAGTCAAATCTTCATGAGGAATTCTCGAGAGAGCATCGGCCAGAGTATTTTGTTTACCAGCTATATGTACTATTTTAATATTATAGTTCTGCAATTCTACAAGCCAGCGAGCTAGATGCTGGTGTGTCTAAGCCTTTTTCAAGAGAAATGCCAGAGGCTTATGGTCAGTGTGAAGTTCAATACTTGACATGAAAATAAAAGGTTTAAATTGCCTAAGCGCGAAAATAATAGCTCCTAATTCAATCTGAACAGGTGGCCAATTTCTTTCTGCGTTGGAAAGAGTTCTGCTGCAGTAGCAAATAACTCCATAGACCTTTTTCTCTTCATCCCATTGCATTAGAGCCCCACCATGACCTACTTGCGACGCATCACAAAATATATGGAAAGGTTTTGAATAATCGGGAAAAATTAAAACTGGCTTTTCAGATAATATTTTCTTGATTTTATCAAAGGCTACTTGTTGCTCCTCGCCCCAAGTGAATGGTTTTTCTTTTCGTGTTAATCTTGTTAATGGTTCAACTATTGTAGAGAAATTTTGCACATGCTTTCTAAAGAAATTTGCCATTCCAATTACATGCCTAACCTCTCTGACCGTAGTGGGAACTTTTAGGTTCAGAATTGTTTCCGTTTTTCTTAAACTAGGTGTGTATCCTGACTCATTTACAATAAAACCAAGAAATTCCATGCTTGCCGAAGCAAAGACACACTTTTTGGGACTTAATTTTAGATTAAAGCGCCTAAATCTTTCAAACACACTCCTTAAGGCTTTGATATGCTCTTCAAAATTGTCAGACTTAGTAAAAATCAGTATATCGTCAACATATGCGATGACATTATCAAGCCCTGTTAACACATGCGCCATTATTCTTGCAAAAGCACTAGTGGCATTTTTAAGTCCAAAAGGTAAATTTACCATCTGATAGATTTTGTCCTCGGTAATAACACCGCATTTTCTTGACGCTCTTTCACTAAGTTTAATTTGCAAATACCCGCTAGCAAGGTCAAGTGATGAGTAATATCTGCAATTACCAACTTTCTCTAAAATTGTTTCAAGTCTTGGGAGAGGAAAGTGATCAGGGACAGTTACTTCATTTAATTTTCTAAAATCAATGCATGGCCTAAGCCCACCATCCTTTTTCTGAACCAATACTATGTTAGAAACCCAAGGGGTATCGGACTCAACCATGACCCCTGAGGCTAATAATTGATCAATATGCTTTTGTAATTCATCACGATACTTAAAAGGTACTCGATGTGGTCTAGAAGCAACTGGTTCTTCAGATGTTGTGATCTTCAAACTCATCACAAAGTTCTTTTAGTTTATTAAGATCTCCACCCTTTACAGTAGCTTTACCAAAATCAATTTTATAAGTTGGATCAATGGTTACCCCGGTCTTCCCTAAGGAAAAGATTTCTTGAACATCTTCATTACAAACAGTTTCTGATAAAATATTCTCAGATTCTGTTTTAATTACTTCACTTGCTAGACCTAATGTCTTTCCTTTAAATAATCTTTTTGTTACCCCAGTCGGATTGGCTAAAATTATTTTCACTATACCATCTTCAGGCTTAGCTACTACTGGCACAAAACTTAAACCTTCTTCTTCAAGTCTGTTATCTATTGAGTGCACCCAGATATTATGCCTAAGCAATTCAGGGAAATTTATTTTAGCTTTTATTAAGCATTGCTCATTGGGCCTTATCTCGCAAGTCTCTATTGAATATATTTTTAAATTTCTTAGCGGCCTATTTACTCTGTTCTCAATACATATTTGACTGCCTTCAATACGAAACAACTTATTTCTAAGATCAACGACAAATGGAGGCAGCAGTGTCATTGCATCACAACCCAAAATGAAGTGATAATCGTGGTTATCCCAGTGAAACTTATCATTAAAAAGATGAATAACAATCTCAGCTAACACTCCTGCTATTTTTAATTGAACCTTAGTGGCTTGCTTGGCACACATGGAATGTTCCGAGGCACTTTGAAGATAAGTTTCAGTTTTAAAAATTTTTGTCCCTAGCCATTCTGCAAGTGCTATGTTTGCTACAGAGGTTATTGCACCAGTGTCAATCAAGCATTTGACTGGAATACTATTTAAACTGACATCAATCACAACAGTATTGGCATTTGCTCCTAAAGTTCCTATAAATCCACTAGTTCTATTAATTCCTATGGTAGACCTAGGTCTTGTATTTGCGGTGCTTCTTGGTAAAGTATTGGAGTTAGCGTTATTTCTTATTGAAGGAGGCCAAGAAATCGATAGTGGCCTGTTTACTGGTTCTTCATATGCTTCATCTAGCTCTACAATGGGTTCTGGTACTCTTCGAATGTCTAACATTCTCCTAGGGGGTGGAGCCTTCTGAACTTCGGATCCAAAAATAAGTCTACCTAGTCGCCCATTGCCCGCATACATTTCAGCAATAATCATCGAGAACCTTAATCCAAAATCTAACGCTAAAATTACCACTAGGATTGAAATAATTGTCTCCCAAATGCTCTTATAATCACCAATTAATCCTTTCTCAATTTGATTTTCAACTTCTTGCCACTCATTCGACACAGATGTCGACACAATAGAATCTTTTTCATGAATTTGGTAAGTCATTTGACTAACTTTGACTAAATTACTAACGAATGCATGATCCTTAATATCAGTCATGTTTAGAAGTACTAGTTGATGAAATGCATGAGACTCAATGCTTGGAATAAAATCAGCAAAATTAATCTTTATGTCATGGGATTTTAATATCCTTGGCCTTACCGAAGTAATTTTTCCTTCAATTTGATCAACTTCTAAGGTCTGATCATTTATTTGAATAATTATTTTTCTAAATTCTTCACAGGGACCCTTCTTAGATGTCGGAGATATAATCATTGTCGTGGGATCAAGAAACGCCAGGTGTTCATTACTTTCTGTTTTTAAAATAATAGGCAAAAATTCAAAACAGTGATCTAGCTTAGTAGGACGAAATTCAAAATCTGCTTTATCTATAGGTACGCATGGCCATACTTTCATTAGAGATCTTGCGGACCTTTTTGCCACTAGATACGAATTAGAAAACATAGAGCGCGCCAAGTCTGTAGGATCTGTGAGATATGTTGACTCAGTCCAATGTTTGACCATTTCAGTAAATTCACAAAACGACCTCAGTGACTGCGCAAAGGCAAAGTTTATGGCTTGGGTGATTGACGAATCAAGATAAGTGAGTTGAGATGCTAGTTGTGAAGAGGTTGCTACTCCATCATAAAACCTTTTCTTATGCTTAATTTCAGGACTTCTCTTATTCCTCTCCAAATTAGAGAACGAAAGTAAGACAGACCCTAGACCTTGATCTGATACAACAATATTTTGACCACAATCCTCAATAATTGTCTCATTTCCAAATGTAAGCCCCAGGCGTCCATCATCTGAAAGCCAGGTGGACCCCATGCATCGGCCTTCCTTTTCCCCTACAGGAATAAAATTGCATTTCCTTTGGTTGTCCACTTCCCAAACTATCACCGTTTTGTCCTCTAATATACAATGACCCTTTGTATATGGGCAGTCGCGAGCTATGCCTAGCGGGGTTACAACTTCTGAAGCGCCAAAATGTGAATCTATCCTACTCTCAAATAAGAAACAGTTTTCACTCGAAATATTCTTCCAAGAAAATGAACCTAGAAACCATATCCTGGGGGTTAAGTCAATTTTATTTTCAGTCTGCCACAAATTATTATTTTCCTTAAGAATGCCTAGGCTACAACTGTGATGTTTTATCATTTGATTACACTCTTCAAACGAAACTTCCAATTCTTCATGAGTCATTTTTTCTTCAACTGAAACCCCTGTTATCGTTGTATATTTTCGAGCATTTTTCTTTATTTTCCTGCAGGCCCAGGCTTTTGTCGAGAACTCAATACTATTTGGGATATAAATACGTCTTTTCTCAATTTTCGGTTCATGTTTTGCTGTAAGGTTAATTGTAGGACAGCTTGGAATGTCAGGCATTTCCCATAACATAGCCTGTTTGTGAGTTTGACAAATCATTGGCCCTTTGGGTATTAATACCGGATTAATTGCAATCGCGCAATTACAAAACATAATTAGCATTAAAGATATTCCCATAAGCGTTGGTACTCTTACTCTATGCCCTTTGCTTTCCCAACTGGTAATTTTCTTTGGTTCCTCTTTCTCTGCACTAATTTCTATTTTCTTAAGCTGCGGATTACTCTTTGCCACGGGTTGAAGTGACCTAATATTCCCTTGATTTGCCGAAGCATATTTCCCACTCATTTTCATCTCATGAACTTGCACAGCTAAATTATCAAGCATTTCTCTTACCTCTAAATTATCTTTTTGCTTAACATCTCTTGGTCCCCTATTTCTATTATAATTGTCATTTACTCGCCGCTCTCTACAATTATATTGGTCATGTCCCACACGTCGACAGTAGTGACAGAATGGCCGACTATTCCACCTTCTATCATTCTGTGGATGCCACTGATTCCTGCCTTGGTACCCCCCATATCCTAATCTCTGAGCATTACTCGAAGTTGCGAACCTTGCTTGAGAATTTCTATTGAATCCCCTTAGGCCTTGTGAGGTATTACCAGAGCTTATAGGTCTCCAAGTCGTAAACCTTCCTCTAGGTACTTGACTGGGGTGGTCCGAGATAGCATTTATTACTTCATTATTACTTCTACCATCCCTCTCAGCAGCAACTTCAAGCTCTTGAACATAAGCTGTCAGTTTATCAAAGTCTTTCCTACCAATTAAGGGACCTACTAACTGGAGTGAGCGCTGGAACTCGGGTCTGACCTTCTCAGTGAAGCATCGGCAAAGAATTTCTTCTTTTGCCTCTGCAGATATGTGGGACGAGGTAGTATTTACAAGAGGTACTAGACGTTTAATAAAATCACTAACTAATTCACCTTCCCTTTGATAGCAAGCTGCTAATCTTTTATATGCAAGTTCTCTGAAATGTGGACTATCCAACTTCGCTCTAATATTTTTAAACACGTTTGGGATTGTATTCCTTTCAGATGGAAGTAAATTTTCAAAAATATTTCGCACTTGCGTACCTAAGTACAGTTTGAGACGATTGACCTTTTCAGCTTCAGACCAGGCTGTGCCGAAGACATCCAGATAATCCATAAACCTAAGAGTCCATTCATCAAATGCCGAGGCAGTCTCTCCAGAGAACACTCCCAATTGAGGTCCGGAGGAACTGCCTTCGCCCAAAACATGTATTTCAGGATTACGATTCTGCGCTCCGCGTGTGTTAGTACCTCCATTGTTAGTACTTTGGGTACTTCGTGCTTTATCCTTTTCATTCCCTAAGGAGTTTGCTAATCCTATATTATTTATACTACTTGAGCTCTGTTGATGCTGCGGTGGAGGAGGTGGGATCTGCGTTGGTTTCAATAATCTCGATGCGCCGCTGCTTCTAAATTCATCAAATTCTAAATTGTCCCTCGCTTCTAATTCACTTCTTAAACTCTCAACACTTTCTTTAACTTTTTCCATATCTTGCCCAAGGGCGTCAACTCTTGCAGCTACTGCGGCAAACCCCTTATTTGTATCCTTTTCCATTGTATCCAATGCATCCCCCATCTTATTTAAATCCCTGTTTAGTACTCTAAGGTTTCTATTTATGGCATCTTCCAATGAAATTGTATCCTGATGGATTTTTTCTAGATCTGTTAATTTCGCAGCCCCACTTAAAATTCTTCCATCGAATTGCTTTTTATCAACGGCACCTATCTCTATGTATTTATCCATTTTAAATATTTTTTCAATATATTTTTTTTAACAATTTTATTGATATGGTTATATTATTTATTTATTTTTTTTTTAAATTAGCTCTCAAATTATATATAGGTATATATATTATTTTTTTTTTTTAAATTTTACTTTATTATTATTTTGTTAAATGTTATATATTTTTTAAATAATTTTTATTTGAAATTTATTTATTATATTTTTTTTAATATTTACCTTCAACAATTTAGCAAAAAAAAATATTCCAAGAAAAAGGCCTAGACCAAAAATAAATCCAATAAATTGAACACTCAACAAATAAAGCTTAAAAAAAATTTTTTTTTTTTTTTGACGGAACTTGAAAACTTATATTTTTTGATTAGAGAAAAGATTAGGAAGAGAATGATATGAAATTGAGAGATATATAACTCAACAAAATAATAATTTTTAAATAATTTTTTAAAAATTATTTGCGGACAAGATTTGCGGATGTTTGCCTCAATCTTTATAGTGTCTCCAGCCGTGTTTGCATCAGCAGCTACTTGCAGACAATTATATGGCTTACCCTAAACCTTTTAACAGCTTGATTGCGAGTGAGAGCACCTATGCTGGTATTAGGGTCTGTATGTAATAATTGCCTAGTTTATTTGCCTTTCTAGACTCTAATTTATATTCGAGATTAATAAGTAAATCTTTCTCCAAATTACATTTAATTCCCTTGTAACAACCTTTTGGTGCTGTTTTTACTAGTTGATAAAAGTTTTTGGCGATAAGCTGTGTTAGTTTAGATTGTTAAATAGAACCCGCTTTATTCAAAATAATTAACACTGCTTAATTTATTTGTAAAAGAAAAGGCTCATCAAACCCCGAGAGAAGGAGGATAAGAAAAACAAAAACAGAAAATTGTGTACCATTTATTTTACAAATAAATTGATTTTACAGTCAATTATAAAGGCGCACCAAACATTAATAACTATTATGAAAACAACAATAAGATTGTTTTTGGGTTAAATTATTTAATCTCAATTATGAAAATTTGAAAAAAAATGCTTTTAAGCATTGCCCGTTTCATTCCAAAAGACGATAGAGAGCTAATAAACTGTAACCAGAAAAGGGAGTTTTCTCAGTTGATTCCAAAAACCCGGACCGATGAACTGAACAAAAACCCTTCTGTTTAGAAACCCACTCCAATTTATTGTTGTTTTCACAAAATTACAAAATTCCTTTTATTTTCAAAAATATATGGTAGAGAGTGAATGGTTATTTATCAATATTTAAAATCTCTAAAGAGTAGAAGAAAGAAAAAAAATCATCCAATAATTTAAAAATCCCAAAAATTATTTACAAGCTTATTGAATTTACAGTATTGGGATTTTTTTTTTTAATTACAGAAAACAGGAAAATCCAAAATGGAACAGTAATTATAAAGGAAACAGTAACTCTATAACAGTTCATATTCCCCACTCCCTTTTAATTGGGCTAAAATGTGACAGTTGGACAGTTCCTAATTTTTATCATTTAAATTCCGTTATGACAATCTGCAGAAAAATACCTATAAACCGAAGAACCGAACAGAAAAATTATGGTCCCAATATATTGTCCCTTTATTTAGCCTCATGTATTATTAACTAAATAAATGAGCGGGAAAGAAATAAACATAAAAAAAATATTTGCTTCAAACAAGTTCAAAAATCGGACTGGAGAAACTAACCAAAAAAAAAAGGAGAGAAAGAGAAAAAAAAATATTTTTCGATTCCAAAATTGCACCATATTTACAGATAAAATGAATTTTGAGTATTGGGATATTTGTATCTGTCAATTATAGAGAGAAAAGAAAATCGACCAAATATGAAGGCAACAAATTTTTTTTTTAACGAATAATGTTTACCCCCTTTCTTTAAATTAGACTAAAATGAACA